TGAGGTTCTCCTACCCGTGTACATAGATGATAGATAGATGGATGGATGGATGGATGGATGGATGGATGGATGGATGGATGGATGGATGGATGGATGGATGGATGGACGGACGGACGGACGGACAGACAGACAGACAGACAGACAGATGAGAGAGAGAGAAAGAGATATAGACAGATGATAGATAGGTAGACAGACAGACAGATAGACAGACACACACAGAGACAGACAGATGTTTGCCCATCTCACCCAAAGAGACTGTGACCCTAACTTCAAGAATCCCAGAACATTTAAAAAAAAAAAAAAGAAATTCCACTCTGCAAATTGGGTAATGCAGTCCCAATGCTTCAAGAGGTCTGAAACAATCGCAAAGGGGAATAATGGGGAACAGGTGCAGCCCCAAGGAAGTTCAGACAGTATTTTGAAATGAACCAATAAGGGAAAACTTGACCCCATACACAACACCACAGAGGTAAGAATCTTCTAAACTCCCATCTACATCTGTCCATTGTCACGTGCTCCTCAGCCTGCACAAATAGAAGAATTCCCAGTTGCTGGAAAAGTCACAACCAGGCTTTTCTGAACTGATTGAACTTAACTTATGATCTAGAATTCTCAAAAGGAAAGTAATGCAGAGGAATAGCAACCAGAACAATAAAAAAAAATTAAGTAAATGAAAATCAGGGAAAATCAGGTTTACTCCTCACTCCACCCACTCCACCCCCAGTTGAAATAGAAAAAGCATGGCAGATGATTTTCAAAGTATCGTTTTTATATGAAGAAACTGACTCTTAACTACCATGTTTCCCCGAAAATAAGACAGGGTCTTATTTTCTTTTGACCCCCGGAATAAGTGCTTGTCCTTACTTTTGGGGAGATCTTGTTATTTTTTAAAAAGTTTTTATTGTTTTTATTAAAGGAAAACACACACACAAAAATCATCTTTCATTACACCTTGTAGAAAGCGTATCCATTGGTTACAGGTACATTTCGTGCATTTCTTCCACAATCACATATATTTCATTCCGTTTAAATTGTACATTTTAGAATTTATATATTTTACTATCACTATAGGGGAGGTCTTATTATTTTTGAGGTGCAGGGGTGGCGAGCGTGGTCACCTCATGCCTGCTTCTGTGTTGCAATATTTTTGAGGAGGGCTTATTTTTGGAGAAGGGCTTATTTTAGTGCATGGGCTCAAAAAGTCCTAAGGCTTATTATCCAGGGAGGTCTTATTTTGGGGGAAACAGGGTAGATAAGGCTTTCTCTCTTCTTCAAGTTCTAGGGTATGTTTCAAATCATATTTTTTGTTAATGGTGGTTTACTGTTTTTTTTAAATCTCCAGACCACCATTCTATCTCCAGAAACCACTGCTTCATGAAGACAAGAAGAGAAACTTAACAGATAGAAAACAAGCACATATTTATGGATCTCCTGCTATAGATACATATATTGAAACAGCAACCAAAGCAGGGTGTCTTAACTAAGATTGCTACAAGCTAGGATTACAAGATAGGATCCCAAACCAGAAGAAACAAAAGATCTTTTTTTAAAAAAATCAAAAGAAACTACACAATCTTGACTCTTGAACATGACCTAGAGGTCTTAATGTGTACCCATGAACCACAGAGAATTGAGCTGACAGAGAATATCTTATAGAGAAAGACTATCCATATCCAATGGTCCATCTGAATCACACCTAAGCAGACAATGTCCAATCGTCATCAAAGGGTCACAACATGAAGTGCTACAGACTAAGGATGAAGGTTAACAACACAGATTAAGCCCAAGAAAGCAAGGCTTACCAATCATATGATTTGCAACGTGAATCTGTATCTCTCGTTCGTTTTCGAAGGTCATCTGGCACTTGATACACTGGTAAGTCTTCTTCTGTTCAAGAAAGAAAGAAGGAAAACAAATGAAGAAAAATCGCCTTTGTTGCGGTGCTAGAATTCTTGGAGTTCTTAGCATTCGTGACCCGTCAAAACCGCGCTCGACTAAACCACGTCGCTGACGTCATCAACAGGGCGACAACAGCCAGCGCGGAGAAAGAAGGGCGCTTTAAA